TCTCGAAGCTCTCCAGGCTGTCATACAAACAGGCGCAAAAGTATTTGCCGCAGGAATACTTGGAAATATCGAGGCATCTACAACACGAAGATTCCTGGTTCCGTAAACTCGCAGTCTATGATCAACCACACCGCCTCTTTTCTCAGGTGCCATTTTTGCGGTTCCACACGGATGGAATGAGGTGAAATGCTATGTTATTGATCAAAAGAAAGATTCAATTAAAGTTCTGAATACGAATGGTTAACAGAAATAACTAATTACTTTTTTCACGAATATATCTTTCCCAATCGTAATCTGTCATATGAACTCCATCACTGGCCCATTGTCCAAATTCATCGGTGATTCCAACTTCTTGTGCACCCCAGATAGTTGAAAGTGGCGGTTGTTTGATAATTTCGAGACACATTTTAAATGAGCTAATCATTCTATACATATCATCAGCTTCATCAAAATAATTGAGAAAAATTTTTGGCTGTTCAAATGGGTTTTGACTTGAAAGTTCCAACCAACCAACACTAGATGGCAAATTAAGCACTGGCGAAAATGTGATTCCTTCTCCGGTGAATGGTTTTCTTCCGTCCGGCGGATTGATTATTGCCGTGTCAAATATAATCGGTGCACCTAGTAATGTATGATGATTCTAGGTTATAATTTACGAAAAAAAACTGCAATTATCCTTTGTGTTTATTACATGTGATTTGCATATCCGGACGTCCATTCAATAATTCGTCTTTGGTAGGTACTCTTCCCTCATTATTAGCTTTATGAAATATTGCTAATTCCGGTCCGTTGGTCCAGTAATTGATGCGCGACTTCAAGGTGGAATTAGGTACACCTATCTTAACGGTAATCATTCCTAACGGATGATCCCAGAGATTTTTCCCAACCGGCAATTCCTTGCGGATGATAATTTTCTCTCTTTCCAAACTATTCCTAGGACCTATTCCTGAAAGCATAAGCAGCTAAAAAAGGAAATAAAGAGATGGACTGTGTGAATATTAACCTCATCAGCATTGAAGAAAATAAAAGTTAATAGGTTTTACATACTTGTGGAGTGTTGATTGCTCCCGCACTAAGAATGACTTCACCTTTTGGTGCAATAAAAGCTTCATGAACTGCACCATCATAAAAATATTTGACACCCTTAGCTACATTTCCGCTTGATTCCTCGTCCCAGATTATACCCAATACGTGCGATTGGGATTTAACATTGACCGCCGAAATCTTGTAAGCGCCTAACGGCGACCAGTCGCTGTGAGTTTCGTTGATCTTCACCACGTCAACTTTGCTCAACGCTTCAGTGAGATAACCATCTACCACGGAACATCGTCTATTGTTTTTTATGGATGCCTATAATTTGCTATTCGACATCATTAAACCTGAATAACCAAAGTAAAACTATACTTGATGACAAAAGAATTTTTCTTTCATTTAGTATAAAGTACCTGATATGTGGCTACCCCATTCTACATGAGATTACTCAGAATTGTAAATTAACATGTTTTGCCGTATGTTTCGTTCATTATTATTACCTGCTTGGATCCGTTGTAATCCTTATTTTCGGGAATACCATAATTTCTTGCTGAAGTTCTCAATTCTTTCATAATATCAAATATCTTGTCTCCGTGATCTTGCACCCCTATCAAACCGTTGAATCCATGGTATTTTTTGAATTCGTCATCGGAATCCTTATTGAAATTATTTTCGGTCGCCTTGAATGCTTTATATTTTAGAAACAAGATGATCAGTATTATCAAAAAAAATTAAAAAATTAAAAATATCCGAAAAGTCACCTTCGAGGCAATGATCGTAACCCCAATGTTTGTACTCGGGTCCTTGATTCGCCCAATCATTATAGTCCTCAGGATGGCCTCGTCTAACAGTTGTAAATCATTTATTAATCGATATTCTTTATATATTAAATTTAAGTGATCACATGACCTTATAAGAACTTGGACTTACACGTAAGACATTGCATTCACTGAACTACAACCGCCCCAAACCTTTCCTCGTGGATAAATTAGAGATCTATTTACTGTCGTCTTTGTTGAGTCCACGGAACTAGACATCACTTGAGCTTGAGTGTAATACGACCAATCAACTTCACTAGTTCTCCAGAGCTATTTTTAATGTTCGAAAAAAAAAAAAAAAGTAAATATGCTTGCGAAAAAATAACGCGTGAAATTTAAACTGTAACATTAATACTTGCAGTAGTGTGTGTAAATGGAACGCTAATTCTATCATTGACTTGAGTATCAGGTGGTCCCGCCTCGAGCATTAAAATATTAATATTAGGTATATTATATATAAGCTCTCTGGCCAGAATACATCCGGCAGAACCAGCCCCTACAATAATAATAAAATCATAAGTTTCTTTGGGTCTTACGAATTTCACCATGTCTCGATATTGGATATTCTTCGACCAGAGATCCCTGATAAACGCGTCTCGAGCCAATTGATGATTATCTGGTAGAACCTTTGTTGGTTCTGGGACAGTTGCTTCTGGCGGTAAGTTTACATGAAAATCTCCAAATATATTTTGTGAGGGATTGCCATTCAACTCTTGAGAGGCTTTGTCAATGGTGGTCTCTTTAGCTTCTCTCGAGTCAAAAGTCTTATTTAATTTGATGGATGAAACGTAATATCTCTCGGAAA